TTTCACGCGCTTATTGCCGTGGGAAGTCGGCGCCGACCACGTCGAGTCGGCCTATCGGAGCCCAAGCGTTATGCCGTAGGGCACCCTGGCTCCAACCTCGCCACTCTTCGTCTTGATATCATACGAGCTTACCAGCTTACATCACGAGGGAGTGTTTTTAGCTAAAAGTACCTTGTAGCTTTAAACCGAAAATAACATTTGCTGGAACAAAAAGGCAAGCATTGTATAACTAACTCTAATGTCAAACCCCAAAATGAACATAAGGAACCCAAAGCGGCCGCTTCATCTCCGACCCGTGGCTTACTTCAGCGTCTCTTGCCGCTTCCGATAACCGTGACCTTTCACCCCCTGATTCCTCCTCGTCTACCCACTGGTCTCGGAGCATCCTCATCGCCCGGTGAAGCCCTCGGCTTACAGCTTCATCCCCCATCCCCTCATCTCGCAAATACTCGTATACCGTCCTGGCCATATCCACACACAGCCTGTCATCCACGCTCCAAAGCGTGCCCACCACGTGCCGGAACCCCGCCAGCTGGCAGGCGTTGGCCAGGTGGATGCTCTCATCAACAGAACTCTCATCCAGGATTTGGCCAGTCCCGCACGCTGAAAGGTAGGCGAGGAATGGCGGCTTCGACGTAAGGTTGGTCTCTAAAATATTCCCCACCGTAAATGGCTCCGACTCCCAATCATCGAAAAGCAGTTGGCTCTGCAGCGGTTCCGTAGGATGCGTGCTGCCGTGCCCGGCAAAGTGGAATATCCTACATGTCTCCAAAGCCGAAAAAACGTCGATTTTGCACGGTCGGGGACGGTCGTAAGGCAATCCCATCGACTTGCAAACAGCTACCACCGCATTAGCTTCGTCGCTTGCATATTCGAGTCGTTGCTTTTTGGCGTGTTCTGCATGGCAACGACGACGGCCTTTCGAAAGTCTTCGGCCGCTGCTGCTTGGTGTGGCCGTCGCCGACTGTATATAATCGCCTTCACGGAGGAGGCGTACGATGAAACGACTCTATCGACCGCCGTTTCGCCGGTGCGTCTCAAATGGTATCCCGCTGCATGGAGTGGAAACCGGGTCAGTGTACCGGTAGGAACCCACCATACGTGCGGCCACTGACTGTCCGATGGAGGCCCAGTAAAGCCTAAAGCTTCAAGAACGGGACAGACAATGGCATCCCAGAGCCACCCAAGCGTAGCGAGAGTTTTGAGTTCCCGAGCGTGTTCGTTAATGGCGTCTCGGGAGACGTGTGGCAGCTCCAGCAATCGGATACCGGATTGCTCAATGGCCAAAGCATCGCAACGATACGAGCTCACATTCAGGACGACGATCGGGCCTTGTCGCGCGG